AGTGTGTACATATGAAGCAATTATTTAGGAGGCCTGTGAAATGCCCAAATAGAATGTACACTGTGATAAAACAATCTAATTGTATTACAGATTTAACAAGTGGTTGACCCCGGGGTCATTGCTGTGAGTTTGATGCCAGCCTGGGTCTACAGAGTAACACTGTGTCTAACCTGCCCCCCCCCGAAAAGAAACTAAAAAAACATCACTGGATGTCCTAAAGAGAGGGAAGTAACTTTGCAAATGAGCAGACTTCCTAACACTAATGGCAAACAATCAACTTGTAATCTCTGTGCTCTACTTGGTAAAGTTGTTTTCTAGGATCTGTGAGCTAGCAACCCTGCAATTACTTTACATGCACAATAACTTAAAGAGGCAGAATTTAACTAACTCAATTAAGTGAATAGCAGCTGGCGTGAGTCAGGTTTCAGTTGGAGTGAGTTTAAACATAAGCAAGGAAAAGAAGTTAGAAAGATGAACGGGGTGATGTATTAAATATCAGCATGAGCCAGGCTGTGGTGGTGCATACCTTTAATCCCAACACTTGGGAGGCAGAGGCAGGGGGAATCTCTGTGAGTTCCAGGCCAGCCTGTTCTACAAGAGCTAGTTCCAGGATAGCCAGAGCTGTTATACAGAGAAACCCTGTCTCGAAAAAACAAAAAATAAACGAATAAATAGATATCAGCATGAACTCACTAAGCATATAGATATTTTAGAAATAGCTACACTTACATGTATGTGCACAGGTTAATATGCAGACATACATTTCCTTGGCATATCCAAATGAAAATATGTAGAAGCAGTGACATTACAGTGAGAATGAGCAAATCCAGTGGCCAGGGGTTAGGTGTTGACTAATTCTAGGACTGGAGAAGGAAGTAGACAATGTGAACTTAGAATGTATCGTCATTCCAGAAAGCAAAGACATGCTTAAAATGCAAATCTATGATGGGGGCATATCAAAGGGATATAGAAGCTTCCAGAAAAAAAAAAACTCCCAGTGTTTACAACGCAAACCATTGCAGCAACAAAATAAGTAGTGTTTATATCTGTGAATCCAAATTAGGAGAAATGACCAAATAAATTAGTACATGGCATTGGACAGATTTCAGAAGTTATTTATTTCTGTAGAAGAAATTTGAATCAGCTATGTAAGCACTCTGTCCTCAAGGTAGGAAAGCATTAAGTTCTCACTCCCTAAGTGTGGGCTGTATATAGGACTTCTAATAAGTACTGGGATCGGAGGAATAGTTTTACAGTGGAGACACCTGACAAATATTACCTTTGACAGGTGAACTAGTGATGAGTGGATACATGAACTTGGTATGATATGATGAGGGGCATAGTTTACCTTGGCTGTCTTTCTCTCCTACCCCAACATGCAATCACAATCTAATAACATCGGACAAATCCCAGTAGCAAAACATCAAAGAATGTGTATTAATCTCTCTCAGCCAAGAGAAGCCAGAACCCGATAATTCTGAATAAAATATGGACTTTAGTTAGTATCTTGCACTAATATTGTTTGTACCAAATATCCTAAGTTAATGTGTTAGTAACATGAGAAACAGATTATAGGGCACATGGAACTTATCTTTCCAAGTTTTCTGAAAGTATGAAAATGTTCTAATAATCAATCTACCTTCCTATCCATGCCCCAGAAAAAGTAAAACAGCTAGTAACTATCCCCTCACTCAGATTATGCACTTCTCCCCAGAAGTCCTTTCCTCCATCCAGTCCTTGCAAATCTTATATTATGTAGAACTGAGGCCTACAGTTTTTTTCTGAGTCAGAAAAGCATAACTTTGTCACTTTGTTTTTTTGAGACAGGGTTTCAGCTCTGGCTGTTCTGGAACTCACTCTGTAGACTAGGCTGGCCTTGAACTCACAGAGATCCCCTTGCTTCTGCCTCCTGAGTGCTGGGATTAAATGTGTGCGCCACCACCGCCTGGCAGTTTTGCCTTTCTCTATCTTTCTGTCTCTTCTTTTTGGGTACTAGCCAAAGCCCTGGGCATGCTTTCCAGATGCTCTGTGCTTCCTCTCTGTTTCTCGAGGAAGCCTCCTCCCCTTCTGCCTGGCAGCTGCTTGCCGCTCCTGTGGCTGCTGGCTGACCTTCATTACTGAACCAGCCTGCTTTCTTTAAACACTGCCCCTCTTCCTGGCAGCCTGCCTGCCCCATTGTTTTTCTCTTAAACGCCAATAACATTGTCATCAACTGTCAAAAAAGTACAAAAGAACCAATTTTATTTTAGAAAAATACCACTTGTTAAAGACAGACTAAAGGGTTACTAATAAGTGCTAATTTGCAAACCTTGGAGAAGCAGCTATAAAAGCTATCTGAGAGAAGTGTGGAGAAATTTGGACGTAAAATGGTTTGTTTTTGCTTAGTTATGACAGTGGCATTGTGATCACACCGGAGAATGTTCTCACTCTTGTAGGACTGACACACTGGCATGTTTAGGAATGTTATGAAGTGTGATAATAAATGTCTACAACTTGGCTGAAATGATTAAGAAGGGAGGGAAAAAACACATGGGAGAAATAAACAACCATGGTGAGAAAATTAGGGATGATGGCACTCCCCTGGGTCATCACATGACTCTTCCACATTTCACAAGCTTCCAAATTCCAAAAATAAATACAGGAAAAATATTTTAGATATGGGCAAAATGTTAATGAGAGGTTATCTGGAAAAATAATCATGGAAGGATAACTAGGAAAAATCCTCAGGAGGAATAATGAGATTTGGACTAGGGGAGCCAAATATGAGACTATGGAGCTGAAGACACAGACCAGCTTTGTAGAGCACTTACCTACCATGCTTAAAGATTTGGGCTAGAGCCCCCAGGACCACAAAAAGAAAAAAAAAGGAAAAGGAAAAAAGAAAGGAAGTATATATAGCAATTTAAAACAATTAGAATTTTTACACAGATACCCTGTCCCCAAAGATCAAATAAAAAATAAAAATAAAATAAATGCATTAAACCTTCATTAAAATATAAGATTCCGATGGGCAGTGGTGGCGCATGCCTTTAATCCCAGCACTCGGGAGGCAGAGGCAGGTGGATCTCTGTGAGTTCGAGGCCAGGCTGGACCGACAGCCTCTAAAACAGAGAAACCCTGTCTCGCAAAACATATATATATATATATATATATATATATGATTCCAATAATTCACTTTCAGATGATCAAACCAAAAACTGCTTCATATTCAGTATTGGCATGAATCTGGTAAACATTTCCTCTCATACATTGAATGTGGAAGGATGCTGGGCTGAGATGTCTGAAGGTCAGTTTGATAGTAGCTACTTAACTGAAAATGAAAAACACCCTATGATCCTGGAGGTCTATGGTAGAAATTAACCCTGTGAGCATAATCTCATTAAATGAATGCACATATTTATTCCAATATGACTCAGTAAAATACTGGAAACAATCTAAAAATTGACCAATGTTTGGAATATTATTTGAAAAAATAATGGTGTTTATGTATATATTGATATAGAAAGATCTTATAAAATACAAGAAACAACACACAAAGGCATAAAGTGTCTGATTCTATTAATTTAAAATAATGAAATATATGTTGGATGGCAATCAAAGCTGATTACCTCTGCAAACATACATATTAGAGAGGGGAAAAAGTTTATTTTTTCAAAACACAGGGGAAGTCTATTTATAAATTACACAATAAACACACATTACACAAAACAAATGTGACATATGCACTTTTCTACTATCTAGCTACTCTTTGAGGATATTATTTGTTATTTAACAGAATAAGTTTGTGATCATTCTAAAGCCCCTTCTCTAACCAGGGGCTATTTTTTTAATTTAAGAATTATTTTCATACAATATATTTTGGTCATGTTCCTAAATCTTATGACTTTCTGCATTAACTGGTCTTTTTTTTTTTTTTGGTTTTACGAGACAGGGTTTCTCTGTTTTGGAGGCTGTCGGTCCAGCCTGGCCTCGAACTCACAGAGATCCGCCTGCCTCTGCCTCCCGAGTGCTGGGATTAAAGGCGTGCGCCACCAACGCCCGGCTAACTGGTCTTTTATTCCATGTGCATATATTACATTTCATTTTCCTTCTTAAATAAGAAACACTTTATCAAGTTATTTTGAAATATCCTACATGGATTCTGATACTGGTAGTGTTTTTAGTTACTGTAGGTAACTGGTAAGTTTAACATATGAGACTTGCCCTTAGACTTTTGATTTTCCCCTGATATTCCAATCGTGATTTTTTATTTTGTGTGTGTGTGTGTGTGTGTGTGTGTGTGTGTGTGTGTGTGTGTGTGTGTAAGCATGCAGGATCTCACTATATAGCTCTAGCCAGCTTGGAACTCACTTTTGTAGATCCGTCTTAAAGGTGTGTGCCACCATACCCAGCTCAATTGGTTTTTTTTTACTGTCATTTTAACTGTATGCTGTATTTGTGATGCAGTGATTTCATATTGCTGCTAAGGACCAACTCCTGTATTGCAGGGCACTTGGTTATTTAGAAGTGACATTATACATTATGAGTGCAAAATCAAAGGTACATTGAGACTTTACATATACAGTGGGGTGTGGTGGTGCACACCTGTAACCTCAGTAGTTGGGAGGCAGATGCAAGACAATTAGGGATTCAAGTCCAGTGTTGGTTGATTAGGGACTTTGAGGCTAGTAAGGACTAAATAAATGAAACATCATCTCAAATATGTGTGTAACAATAATTAAAGAAAAAGAGGCCATGAATTTGAAAGATAGCAAGGAGGGCTACGGAGGGGTTGGAGGGAGTAAAAGAAAGGGTAAAATTATGTAATTATATTATCTCAAAAATTAAAAAAATATTTTAAGGGAAGACTTTACATACACACTTAACGCATGCATTTAGAAAAACAGCATCATACTAAAAAACACAGTATCATAACATTGGTTCACGTTTTTCTGGAGACAGAGAAGCTGAAGAAATGAGATTAAAAGTTAAAAACAAAAAAGCCACTACCAAAACCAAGGTGAGACAATCACTTATTTATTGGACAGGGCAAGGTCATTTAAAGAGAGGAAACATATTCAAAAATGGGTTTATTGGTGTTACAGGCATCAAGGCTCACAAACAACAGTATTCAATACATCATGGAAACAGGTCACATACAGCCAGGAAGATGCTGTCATGTCACTCAAAAGTATGCTTTGGAAGCAATCATTAGGGAGTTACTGTGCATACTTGTCATCAACTCACGATTTTTATTCCCTGCAGCTGAGCTATTAGCCCATAGGATTTAGCTAGTTCCCTGGTTATGAAGAGTGTTTCTGCATTCTGGAGAACTTTGATTGTATATGTCTCCTATTTTTTAATGACACTGAAATTATGTCAGTATAGGCTTACCTAGCACTAGCTCACATAGCTGTTTTTGAACTACCCTAGGCAGTAATGGACTATCACACAGTACTGTAAATAAAATTCTGTACTGAACAAACTTAGCACTGTTACAATGCACCCAAATCTTATTTAGCTTTATAGTACCGTATTTCAAGAAGATAGCAGAAATTCAGTGAAGTCGATTTTTAAAAAAATTTGGGACGTTTACCTGGTCTGAGGTATACAAGCTGTCCATAAAGGTAGAGACTTTTAAAATTTACTATGTCAATTATTTGCCAAAAAATTAGCATTATTTTTAGTAGGATTTTCTTGGCTGGGTAGGCAAGAATAGATTTTTAACATCCATTGTAAAAACTAAAGAAATATTAGAAGCAGTAGTACAGAATGGATGGTTGGCTAGTCTATGTAACAAGATTAACTGAGAACTCTGTCAGGTATTGGATTTCCCTCTTTAAATTCATTACTTAACTACTGTTTTTCCTGTGATACTGGGGATGAACCGGCTAGACAAGCCGTCTACCACTAGCCCCTCAACCACTTCCTCTCACTGTAGTAGGTTATAGGTTCTCAAGATGAGTGTTCACTCCACACAGGAAACCGTACTTAGGAAATTGTTTGCAAAGACTAAATATTGCATGAATTCATTGTTAGTAAATGATCAGACTATGCAAATATAGACTATTGGTTCCCTGGGACCTAGGTAAGACACACTGGGAGGAAATCAGAGGTGACTACTAAGGAATACAGGGCTTCATTGGGGTTAGAAAAATGGCCATGACTTATCATGTAGTTGCATAATTTTATGATTATATTAAAAGTTACTTAATTGTACTCTCTTAAATTTGTATAACTTCTTTAAAGATAAAGTCTCAATGTGTATCTCAATCTGGCCTTGAATTTGTGTGACAACTTTCCTGCCTTGGCCTCATGAGTGTTAGAATTACAGGTGTGAGCCACATCTTTAAAAGAATGAAATTACAAAGCATGTAGATTAATTCTCAGTAACATTATTATGAAAAAACATTAAGAAGGGAAGACAGTCCCCCAAGAGAATAAAACAAGTAATAGTCAACGAGAATGGTAGAAAAGCCTGATATACAGCATGCTTCTTGCATGCCATTTTGATTTCACTATCATCACCATAGTCCTTGCATTCACTTTTTTGGGGGGTTGGGGTTAAGACAGGGATTCACTAAGATAGCCTAGATTTGCCCCAGACTTGTGATCCTGCTTCAGCCTCCTAAGTGCTAGGATTACATGCACATGCCACCACACCTGGCTTGACTTCACATTTTTAGACTGTTTGTAAATTATTTTAGGCAATCAGTAGATTTCTGAGTAGAAATTTCTGAACAGTCAGTGCTACACAGACTTAGCAAAACAAAAGAAAAATAAGCCAACGCCAGGAGGCTGGGATGTAGCTCAGTTTCTAGAATGCTTGCTTAGCATGCATAAGGCCATGGGATCAATGCCCAGGACCCAGAAAACCAGGTGTAGTGGCAGCACCTATAATCTTAGCACTGAGGAGGTGGAGGCATGAAGATCAACCTTGGCTACATAGTGAGGTTGAGGCTAGCTCAGGTTATGTGAAATCTTGTTTACAAACAAAAACAACAAAAACAAATCAATGACAACATAATCTTATCCTTTGAGGCTGTGCCTCACTGGGTAGAAAGGCTGAGGTTCATTCCTAATGAAAAAATATGCCAGCAAGTGTAGGAGTATCTGGATATCAAGATCCTGCTTGAAACAAACAAACAACAAAGACAGACAGACACACACACACACACACACAAGCTTGAGGTGGGTTTCCTATCAAAATCCGCAGTTATTCCCTTTACACCTATATAATTTAACAAAATTAATGTGTTGATGCTTGTGATAAGCAATAATCTCTACAAAGTAATGTTGAGCGTCTTAGTTTCCTAGCTAAAAAAGCTACTCCAATTTTCCTAAGAGTAAGATTACCGTTTCTGAAAAATATTCAATGCTGTGTCCTTATACGCACCTTTAGCGCCATAGTGAAGATATAAAATGCCAAGCCAGCTCTCAATCAGAAGCTACAAAGCAACTTCTTAAATGATCTTAACTTTCTAAGAGAACTGAAATGGATTAGCTCCAAATATGTAGAACAATTTTTTGCATGTGCCTTTAGATTAAATGACACATTTCCTTTATTTTCACTAATTCACTAAATAAGCCAATAGACTTTGTATGAATGAAACTGGCTAATGGCAATCAGTTTTCCTCAATCAATACTATTCTACATAGGCAAGATAATAAAGTCATAAATTGTCTTTTTGGTCTACTTTCAACTAGACTTACATTATATAATCAGTGAAAGTTTTACAACAAAACAACATGAGTAGTTTTACACCAAGATTAACTTGTTAAATACATATGTTATGATAGAATTTCTGACACAAAAATTGTTCACTGCACACAGAATCTCAGAGTGATGAAACAAGACAGCTGATGTTAGAAGGTATCTGGGAGTGGAGTCTGGAGAGAAACCATTGATAAATTGGCAAGTATCCACAAAAGCAGAGTCACTCTTTAGGGGACCTAAGAAAAACTGCAAAATCACCACTTTGGTCTTCTTAAAGAAGTTGGTCTAATAAGAACTAAAGACCATTTGACTCTTGTGCTGCAAAATGCAGGTCTTATATGGTTTTTTCAGGATTCCTAAAACCTGTAGTGCAAAAGAAAAGAAATACGAAAATAAATAATCACAAAAATCCCAACATTTTTTCTGGGAAATGTGTTCAAAACAGTGACTTTTACAAAACATGGGAATTGTTTTAAATGAACGACAAAAAAAAAAAACCTCTATAAGAAACTTCAAAGACTCATTTCACAGATAACTTATACACTATTTGATTTCAACAATGTACAAATAAGGGCCATAGATTATTTTAATTAGTTCTGAAATAGCAATATAAATACTGATTGTTGGGGGGAGTTTTACACCCCAAACTCCAATACTCAATTCTGTGTCTGTCCTGTTATTTAATTTGTAAAAAGCTTAACGGCGCAGTGAGTCAAACTTTCTTAACTTCAATGACGTGTTAGAGGACAATGCATCGAGGTTTGAAGAATTTGTTGCATCCGAAGGCCGGAATAGCACTCGGCCACGATGATTAAACACATAAAAAGATGGGTGATTCCTTAAAGTATCAAATGTCCTTAAAAAGAAAAAAAAAGCACCAATTTTAGATAAACCTTTATAAAATTGCATTTGAAAAATAAGCAGGTTTCCAATTAATTATGAATTTGCTGTGAATTATATTTCTTAATAAGAATACATCAGAGATTAGACTAGAAATGGTAATCATACTGTATGGCATATTTTTACTATACAAAGAATGTAAGAAACTTGGAAATGACCATAAAGTTCTCAGACCTTTTATTCAGCCACTCATTCCTTCTCATTCCTTCCAGGGTGCCTAACAATACTAACAAACAGTAGATGAACTTCAGTCATCTCTGTAAACTTAACAGTAGCTTATGATGAATCATCTTTCAAATGCTACCACACAGACTATACCTCTGATCCTTCGGCCCTAACCCATAGACATTTCAAGGATCTGTTTTTCGAGCACAGTGAAAAATTCATTTTGGCCTTCTGTATGTACTATTTTGCTGCCCCCTACTTGATGCCATTTGGTTTGGCTCCTTTCTTTCCTGGCCTCTTGCCTGACATCCTTCGAAGATGCTCCCAGTGAGATTTGTATCATTCAAAAAAGTCCATAAATGTCTTGAGATAAGAGCTTTTCTTTATGGAAAAAAAATGTCCAAGTCAGCCCACTTAACCACACAGATGGAAATAAGAGGGGCTGGAGAGATAGCTCAAGGGTTAAGAATGTATACTGTTCCTGCAGAGCACCAGGGTTTAGTTCCCAGCATCCATGCTGGGTAGGTGGCTCATAACTGCCATTAACTCTAGCTCTAAGTGAATCCGATTCTCTTTGGCTTCCACAGGCACCTGCACATAAACTCATGTAAACACATAAACATGAATGCAAAAGAATCTTCAAATAATAAATTGAAATAATGAAGTAAATGGAGGGGGATTAACTTCCTCCAGTGTACAGATGTTTATTGTGAATCCTTCTAAGAAAATATTGTAAAGGGTGATTACTTCTGGATAAAGAAGGTAGGGAAAGCCCTAAAGTGAAATTGAACAAACTGAAGTAAAAATATGGGGCAAGTAAGCAAACAAAAACCAGAAGAAACATCCAGAATAATGATGTTCTTTAATCCAAAAACAGAAAAATGGCTGAGGGCACAGTTTAGGTTCAAATGACAGAGGAAACAAAATTCAGTTATTCTTCCAAAGACTAAGCTGGGATGAGAAGATAAAAGAATAAGAAGGGAGAAGACAGAAAGAGGAAGGGAACAGATAGGAGGGAAAAACAGGGAAGGAACCTAGCTAATGTTTCTTAGCTATTATTTCTGTATACTTATTTTCATCCATCTATCACATCCTAACCAACCAGTAATTTTAGGTCACTAGCAGGAACCACAGTCTAATACCTTGTTTTTACTTTTCTCCTTTTATGGTTTTGTTTTGAATCAGGCTCTTCCTATATACAGCCCAGACTGTCTTGGAACTCACAGTCCTCCTGTTTCACCCTCAAGAATCCTGGGCTTACAGGCATGTGCCACTATACCTGGCTTTCAACTTCTACTTGTCCTAGGATACCAAACACGAACGTAGTTCTTTTGCCTAATATTACTTCTACAAACTACATACTCAAAAGATAGAAATGAAACCAACTTTTGTGTAGCTGAAATCACATTGTAAATCGTGTACAGAAAACAAATCTCTCTGAAGTTAAAGGCTTCTAGAAAGGACTTACTTATTCTTTAATTCTGAAGTGGCATCCATGTCTTTGAACTCCCCTGCGATATGAACTATGCCATAACAGGTAACTGCAAAGGCCAGAAGTGTCTGAAGAACTATCTGTGAGTACAAAGATTCAGATTAACAAATAGCATATGAATACTGTTTGAAAAACTAGAAGCCGGGCGTTAGTGGCGCGTACCTTTAATTCCAGTACTTGGGAAGCAGAGGTAGGTGGATCTCTGTGAGTTCGAGGCCAGCCTGGTTTATAGAGCGAGTTCTAGGACAGCCTCCAAATCAATACAGAGAAACCTTGTCTCGAAAAACCAAAAGAAAAAAGAAAAAAAAGAAAAAAAGAAAAAAAAAAAGAAAAACTGACAATCCACTTCTCCCCTCTGTGCAAGTTCTAACAAGCATTCTTCAGTGCCACTCACCAAGGAGTCAGTTCTTGAAATGATTTGTACTTAGACACAATAAAATCTCTTAAGTACACTAACACTTCCGATGTTTTAGGAAGCGAACTTAGCAATATGCTCAGAGAAGCATAGTCACCAAGTACTGAGTGGTACCAAACCACTTAGAACTCAAGTACCAAACAGTGACTGCTTCCAAGAGCAACTAAAACTCTTTTTTTGTTATTTTATCACTGGTGAGTATCAGAGAAGGCACAAAGCATATGAGCACAAAAGCAATAAAAAGGTATCAAGTACCTGCCTGCCAACCAACTAAACTTTCAGTTTTTCCCTTCTCTTTTTGAAACAGTATCTCACCATACATCCCAGGTTGGCATTAAACTCACAACCCTCCTACATCAGCCTTTCCAGATGCAGCGATTACAGGTATATGCCACCAAACCTGGCTTTTCAGAACCTTCCAAGACCCTGTCCCATTATTTCCTTTCTTTCTTTCTTTCTTTCTTTCTTTCTTTCTTTCTTTCTTTCTTTCTTTCTTTCTTTAAGTTAACTACTGTACTTAATCGTGTATTAATCAGGTTCTTGGCTGTTGGCAATTTTCCTTCCTGTTTTTGAACAATTTATGAACCTCTAAAACACATTATTGTTTACTTTTATTCATTTTGAATCTCATTTAAATGCACTCAAATACATTCTTTTGAGACTAGCTGTCTTTCCTCAGCAATATTTGTGAGATTCATCCCCACAGCAGTAGTCTGTTCCTTTTCATTGTGTTTAGAACCTACCATATGAAAGCACCATGATTTAGTTCATTATTCCTGGGAATGTGGGATGTCTCCTGGTATTTTTACAGGGCCAACATAAATATTCCTACATGTCTCCTGGTACACAGGGATGGAAACTCTGAGTACAGAGTATATGTATATGTGTGTTCAGATTTATTACATAACACCAAACTGCTTTCCAAATAGGTTGTGCAAGCAACAATGCTTAATTTCATGTTTGAAATGAGGCAACACAGGATTATGGGCCTATTTTCTTAATTATGGTTACATGAATTTTAAATTTGCCAATTTAGAATCCTAAGAAAACTATCTTAAATAGATATGAAAATGTGTATATGTTTGTATACATTTACCAAAAAGAAAAGGTGACTGGAGGCCAAGTTAACAGCCACATACACTGTACTATTAGTTAAAAACAGGTAGAGACATAATTAGCTGCAAGCTATTAATGTCTAAATTAAAACCCAACATCTGAGCCGGGCGTTGGTGGCGCACGCCTTTAATCCCAGCACTCGGGAGGCAGAGGCAGGCGGATCTCTGTGAGTTCGAGGCCAGCCTGGTCTACAGAGTGAGTTCCAGGACAGCCTCCAAAGCCACAGAGAAACCTTGTCTCGAAAAACCAAAAAAAAAAAAAACCCAACATCTGAAATGTCACTTTACATTCCACCCACCAATATGCCAAAGAGATTGTCTTGTTTTGTTTTTTAAGACAGGGTCTCAGTTCAATGTTGAGGAACACCTTGAGCTCCTGAGCCTCCGGTTTGTACATTCCAAGTGCTTGGATTACAGATGTGTGCCACCATGCCCCATTTATTGGGTACAGAGGATCAAACACAGAGATTTGTGTATTCCAGGCAAATACTACTGAGTTACATCCCTAACCCCTAGGAGATTGTGTTTCATGTTAACACAATTAGCAAAAAATGTGGTTAATCTATGAACTGTCATAAAAATATGCTCCAAAAATTATGTCCAAGGAAAACTAACTATACAGTAGGTGTAGCAGCACATACTTGTAATCGCAGCACCCAGGAAATGAAGGCAGCAGAATCAAGAGTTTCAAGGCCAGTTTTGGCTATATACAATTTCAGTGCTAGCCTAGGCCACACAACCTGTCTCCAAAACAAAACAAAAAGTGAAGCTAACTAACTCCAAGACTACATATATACTTAGCATTGAATAATGAATTTGGGGGCTCTTCCCTGGCAAAGACTTTCTCCTACTCTCAGCATTCCTTAGTCGTCTGTGCTACTTTGTCTAGTGTTGAGGCCCTATGGTCATCCCTTAAATCATATATATAAAAGTAACATTATAGAAACTGAGCAGTTGTATTTACATATCTAGAAATATATATAGCTATATACATATGTGTGTAACAACAAGTAAAGAAATATAGGTCATGAATTTGAGTGAGTGATGGGTGAGTGCATGGGAAGGGTTGGAAGGAGGAAAGGGGAAATGATATGATTATATTTAATTTTAAAAACAATTTTAAGCTATATATACACATACATCATGCTTTTATAAAGGATCTAGTTGCAACCTTAATTTTCTTGTTTGTTTTACACTTATAGGGGGAAACATAGGTGCCTCGGCATAAGGGTTCAAGTCAGAGAAATCTTGTACAAGTTGATCCTCTTCTACCATGTGAATTCCAGGGATTAAATTTAGCAAGTGCTTCTACACACTGAGACATCTCACCAGCTCCCAAAAGCTGTTTCAATTACGTAAAACAAAGTACATGTGCCTAAGACAACACTGTATATACAAAGGGAAAAGCCTAAACTCTGATATCCTTTAAACTATTACGAATAAATGTGAAATAGCCGGGGAATGGGATCAGTTCTTTTGCTGCTATGGTTTTAATTTTGTATGATTAGTTTATATTTTTCATACTTATTGTTTGTTACAAAGAATTTAACTATTTTATAAGTTTAAATCTAATAATAACAATAAATTATAAGTCAAATGGGGAATAGGCATTAATTCAGGTTAAAAGCCACCTTCTTTAGTTTTTTTTATCATTGATCCTGTCTGTAAGTAATGTATTGTCAACATTGCTTGTTTTGAAACTTCATTTTCAAGGGAACTACTGGGCCAGTGAAATGGTTGAGTGGGTGAGGATGTTTGCCATCAAGCCTGATGACCTGAGTTGTTTTCCCCTGGGACACACATGGTGGAAGAAGAGAATTGACTCCTGCTGATTGTCTTTTACCTCCACACTTGTACCATGGCATGAATGCCCACACACTTAATACAATATTGAAAAAGGAATTTTCATAAAACTTAAGCCAAATAAGAATTTTAAGGGCTATTTTATACTGTGGATACAGAAACTTCTAGGAAGGCCCCTCATTTCCTTCTTTACTTTTTTTTGACAGTCTTACTCTGCAGTACAGGCTGACCTCAAACTCACAACGATCCTCATGCCTCAATCTCCCAAGTGCTGTGATTACAGCTGGGAGCCACCATGTTTGAGAAAATGATGTAATTGAAAAATGTTAAGATTTCAAAATCTTTTGATTTTATGGAATGATAAAAGCAGGTAATGCCGGGCGTTGGTGGCGCACACCTTTAATCCCAGCACTCGGGAGGCAGAGGCAGGTGGATCTCTGTGAGTTCGAGGCCAGCCTGGTCTACAAAGTGAGTTCCAGGACAGCCTCCAAAGCCACAGAGAAACCCTGTCTTGAAAAACCAAAAAAAAAAAAAAGGCAGGTAACAGCTGGGCAAGGTAACACAGGCCTTTAGTCCAACCATTCAGAAGGAGAGAGGAAGAGAGGAAGAGAGGCAGAGGCAGACAGACCTCTGTGATCTTAAGACCAGTTAGGCCTATATAGTAAGTTCCAAGTTGGTGAGAGCTACACCAAAAAAGAAGCAGGTAACAGATGTCATACCATGCTTGAAAATGATAAAGGAATAGTAAAATAACAAAAATTACCATAAGCCAAGTAGCTGATTTTAAACATGTATTTAATGGAATATAAATGACCAACTTACATCTATCGGTAGTGATTCATCTTCCTTTTCTGTTAGTCGCATATAAGAACGATCTATAAACCAGAAACATACCATTAAGGAAATTGTAGCCTGTTTTCCGTTCTTAAAATGCAAGAAAATCAATACACCAAAGAAGTGGTTGACTTATATACTACATAAAGTAATGCTAATCCCAGATTCCTCAAAAACCTCTGCTAATACAGTCATCCTTATCGTTATGAATTAATTTATGCTTGTCATGGCCTGTCTTTCTCACCTTAAGTGAGTGACAGATGGCCAAGTATGAAACAAAGAACTAAGCAACATTTTTCATTCATTAGTACAGAAAACCTACAAATTCTCAAACTTCCTTTCACTAAGTGGTCAAAGAAGTCATAATTATTTAACAATCAATAGGACTACAAAAATCTTTAATGCTGAATGACCCTGCCATTGTACAGTGAAGTCAAAGTGAAAACTGGTACCGAAATGCTTCTCTTCAGTGTAGTGGTCTAATTGGAGTTTCAGGACATCGATGTCTGTTCCTGCTACTACTTAATTCTGCTGCAAGGGATTGAAGGATCAGAATTTGGGAACTGGTAACCCTGAAGCACCAGCTTTTCTATTTACTATCATTTACTGTATCTCATTCTAGACATCCTAAGCAACTCCAAAATGCATTTCAATTGTAGACTGTTAAAATATGTAAGTGAGCAGAGTGTTTCTTAGACTCAAAGATACAGAACCATTCAACTGTCTAAGAGTTTCCTCCGTGGCAAAATGGGAATGTGAAAGTTACATGGGATTTATTTAATACATGACCGTTGTACTGCTATATTAAAGGTCACTGTAGCAGAGATGAGCACAATTCCATAGAATGCTATCTGATGCCACAATTTCACATGACACAACTAGTGTCAAAGGTAATGCCTGTCTTTTGCCAGCATGAGCATTACAGAGGTCTTGCTGCAGTCACAAATCCACAATGCATTCTAATCACTTGAAAAATATAAAATCCAAAATCTTCATTCTAGATTAAGTATGACAATTCCTACTTCATTATGTACTATAGACTTAAAATACCCAAATTGTTTTGAGTGAATGTGTTTTGTTTGGACTCTGTTAAAAAGGTATGTTTTCAGGCAGAGTATATTTGAATTTACAGAACTTTTAAGGACAGGAGTAAAAAAAAATCCAATATCAAAAGTAGTTTTGAATTAACCTTCTACCGTTCCACTTCTAGCTAGGCTTTTTAAATGAAGTCTAACTTGGCACTTTAACAGTATCTTTAATACTAGCTCGGCATTTTTTCATTGTTGAAATGAGGACGTTGGATTTCAAAGGGCCTTCCTTGTTCTGTGTATAACAGAGACAAAGCTTACTTCAAAAATCTAGTACTCCAGTGTATCCTAATCTCCAGGAAAGTGCTCCACAAACCAATGTGCATGTAAAGCACCCAGGGATCTATTAAAATGAAGACTCTGATTCAATAGGTGTGAGGTGGAGCCTGAATGTCTGCTAATGAGCTCCCAGGTGATGTCCATGGTGCTGGCCTACTGACCATACACACTACCAGCAGCAAGGCTCTAAGACACTTTCCGCGGGTCCCTGGTAATCCCCAAACACTTATACATACACACGCTCAGCCTTTTAGCACACTCATTATCTTACTGGAATTATTTCTCCACTAGCCTAAGAATTCCCTTATGGCACCGCAGAACCTCTAGCATCTAAAAGCAGCAGCAACTTCAATCATTGATCTGAGAAAAAAATGAAAATCAGCTATATAGCACGTTATCTTCTGCCCAAGGTCACAGATTTAACAGTTAAGCAAAATCTTAACAACTAACCCTTTAATGCTACCGGTCTACTGCTCTTTCCCCGTGCCACACTGCCTCCCTGAGGCAAATGGTCACTTAACTTCTCAGACTCTGCCTGGACAGCAGAGCGCACAGGATGCTCTCTACCTAACTGCCACGAAGCCACGAGCCATTCAAAGTTCTCAATCCCACACTTTGTCTGATCCGCCCTTACTGGATCTGACATCTCGCGTCTTGAGTTCTGGGACAGACTCCTGCTCTAAATTCTTTCTCAAATATCAGCGATCCTTCCTAACGTTTCCGCAGTCTAGGTGTTCCACAGCCCTCCAATTTTAAGCCTTTCACCGAGGACCCTGCACTGCTTTACTTAAGTCACCCCAAACTATAAGGTCTCTAAAGGCTGTCCCTCCGGCACTGGGTCCGACAGTTCCTTAGGGAGTGCCCCCACACAGCTCTAGGTGTCCCGCATGCAGTAAGTTCCCGTCCTTTAGGCACTTACGCTGCGCAGCTGAAAAGGCAGCGTGGGCTAGGGCAAAGAGGCCGACGCCTACAAGCCCTTTCCACAGCGATGGCGCCATGATTCGGAAGGAGCGGCAGTCCAACAAAAGGAGGCGAAGGGCGGTTGAGCTATTCCTTCTTTCACCGGCGGGCGTCCACGCGGCGCAGGAACATGACGTCACCAAAGCCCTGGGCGCGAAGTGCCGGGTGGCGCAAAACTCAGTGAGCCATGCGAACGAGTTAAAAGGAATGCTGGGAAGAAGGAGAAAGCGGCACGGAAAAAGGTCCTTGGAGCCTCCCCGGAGTCTGCGCGGTGCCGCTTCTCTCAGAGGGGTGGAACTGAGTCGGGGGCGTGAAAGAACAGACCAAGCGAGACCAATGGGGAGACGGAAGAGCGCCGGCAAATAAGCGCTGGGCTTGGAGAAGGGGCGGGGCTTACGGAAAGAGCCAGGAGGAGAGGGTGGGGCTGGTGGGAAAGCTGGGGGCGGAGGCTTGAGATCTAGCAGTTGGTATTTGTAAGTTGGCTAATTGATTTGGTTTTCTTTCGAACCGATTCCTTTGCTTTCATGAAGTCTTTCCTATGCTCCTGGCCTCGGGGAACTAGTACTGAGGAAGGTCGCGAGGCCATTGACGCGAGGAGGTAAATAAAGTGTGGAAGTGATAACTTGGTGGGTGGGGTGGGAGCCCTGAACGCTTAGCTTGCCGGAGACGATCGGAAAATTAATTCAGCTTCTTACTTTTCTACTTTACCTTTCTTCGAGAAAGATCGACCCGAAAAGGAGTGTAGCGTAGCGGACCTGTTTTGTCGTGAAGAACGCTAGCATGCATTAAGGAAAAAATAAGACAATAAAGGGATCAGGATCCAAATGTAACCTCTTTTCTCCGTTTTTTACTTCATCTCCTAAAATGTAGGCATTCAAAAGTGAGGGCTTCCCATGCTCACTTTTTGCACTGCTCTCTGTTGACAAGCTCATTGATTCGTTTTCACTTCAGACCCGCGTAGATACTACAGTGATTCCAAATCAACAACTGTGTCTCAAATACCACTCCTTAGCACCAGGTCCGCATTCCCAACTACCCATTGCTGGATATTAATTTGCGTGTGAGTAAATCCCGTGGCACATGAAATGTATATGGCCAAACGTAACTCACCCCTCAACTCTACATAAGTTCCCTCGGTGCCCCTGCTGAGTGGCACAGCTTTGTAAGCTGCATGTCACAAAGTAAATGTAAAGCGTCATTACAATTCTTTACCATCAACCTCCAAAGAACTGCTCTCTCAATCAGTTGACTCACCAGTACCTGTTCAGTGATGCTCCTTATTGTGCCTTTCAAATTTGGAGCACCCCGACTTTTGATCTCCTTAATCTACTCTGACTTTATATCACCTTCTAAAATCTATCATTTAGTTACCATGTGTGTTATGTTACTGTTGTTTGCTAACCCTTCCCACTCGGAATGTGAGCTGCAAGAAGACAGATGTCTCTGTGCATAGAACGTTGACCGTCAAATAGTGGACATTGAATGCATATATGATTAAAGAATGAATAAATATTGGGAAAGACCTGAAAGTGATTTTACCACTGAAAAGTATTTTGAATTGGGTTTTGAAAAAGTCCCTGTGGTCTTTGATATACTTGGATTTCTGAAAATCTGAAAATCTGGAAATTAAGGCATGCAAGAGTCAACATCCTTCCTTAAGCTTATCTATATCCTTTTTGTTCTGGATCAAATTACTCAAACATTAAGTCATTGTCATTACTGTTCTTTGGTCCCTCTCCAGGCAGTGCTTGATCAACTTCAAATGCAATATCATGCATTTCTTAAAAAAGCAGAGCTATCAATAAACATCACAAACAGCCTATCACTGTTTAGTTGGCAAGAGAATGCTTTTTTCTCAATGCTTGGGTTGTTGAAAGATAGAAAATAGTTTTAAAAACAGACAAAACTTTTGTTTTAGCTTAGATAATGGTCATAAAAACTTTTCTAGGTGACCTAATAACAATGAAGTAAAAATGATTAAAGATTAGAGGATTTTGAGAGGGAGAGAGGGGAGGGGAGGGGAGGAGACTGAGACTGTCACTATGTAGTCTCTGCTAGCCTTGGAGTCATAATTGAGATTTTTGTGCCTTATCTACCTACCCAGTGCTGGAGTTGTTGGTATGTAACACCATGAACAGCTAAGAGTTTCCTTGAACTGTCTTGAGTTCTGGGACACTTCTTTAAAAAAAAAGGAGGTTATGGAGAAATACACCCACTAAGAAGTCTTGTGTTTGTATAAGCCACCAATGCATTTTCCTAGTCTTTAGGGAAGTGACTCGGTTCTAGGAAAACAGTCTTGCTTTTTGTTAACTTAAGATACACTTGCATCTCTCCCCATCTCACAATTACTCTCTGTGGTGCACGCACCACTTTTTAAATCTTTTATCGTTGTATCAAATACAAGAATACTAGAATAGTTTTATGTTTTCTAGTCATAAGCTGTTAAATTGAATTCATGGGGTTTGCTTTGAAACAGGGTCTTGTTATGGTGCCCAAGCTGGCTTTGAACACTTGGGCACAAGTGGTTCTTCTGCTTTCCCCTCCCCAGAAACTATAGGACTGCAGATATATACCACTATGCCCGTGGAGTGACATTTCAGTTATCTGTAGATTCCAACCTGAGGGAAATCAAGGTGTTCACAGTTATAGAGAAACTAGAATCCACTCAAACATAGTTCTGCTGGTTGGAATTAATCCCAGATTACAAAATTCAACTAGTGACAGTGCTGTTTTCCTGAGTTCTTAGAATAAAAATCAAATTGCATAAAACACAGTATTTAAATTTCTAAGTAACCACAGAAGTGTCTTAATTACCCCCCTCAAAAAAATCCACTCTCTACTTGTGCCATGGATTAATGGCACAGATATTATTGGAGGTGAGGATAATATGAAATGTTTCCCGGGTTAATGTGTTGACTAGAGAAAAGTGTTACAGCATTGGACCTTTGTTTCATGTCATCCAAGTTCATAAATATTTTCATATATACGTTACTTGTGTACATTTAAATCTCTTGTATATATTTTCCCCTTTATCTGTCATACTCTGACCTGATTTAAAAATCCACCTTTCCTGCAAATATGTTCCTATTACAGATATCTATAAGAAAAATGTGTAGATTATTTATGCTAAAGGGTCTGATGAGATGGCTTAGCAGATAAGAGTACTTGCTGCCAAACCTAATGACTTCAGTTCAGTCCCCAGAACCCACATGGTGGTAGGGGAGAGAATGAATTCCTTAAAGTCGAGTATGGGCGAATGTGCAAACACACACACACACACACACACACACACACACACACACACACAGTGAATTAAATAATTTGTTTTGGTTTTTCAAGACAGGGTTTCTCTGTATTGTTTTGGAGGCTGTCCTGGAACTTGCTCTGTATTCCAGGCTGGCCTGGAACTCACAGAGATCCACCTGCCTCTGCCTCCTGAGTGCTGGGATTAAAGGCCTGCACCACCAATGCCTGGCAAATTAAATAATCTTTTTTTTAAAAACTTTCTTTAAGCTATTTATATTTAGAACAATATCTCTGGATAGCAAATTATAGAATTCTATTTCCTTCTAGGCAAACTAACCATCTTGCCTTCCATGTCTGTCTACTCGTCCTTTTCCTTCCCTTCCTCCCTTATCCTCCCCACTTCATGGATTTATTTGTAAACAAGGAATTGCATTGCATAGATCTTTCTCAGGTAAGGAATCAGATCATTAGAACAACAGAACTGAATATTCCACAGATCCACACAGGTTTCACCTAACACATCCGTCATGCAAAAAGTGCTTGTCCAGGTTCCCGAAAGACTTGTAAGTAATTCTGCCAGAGAAGAAGTCACACATTTTTTACTTTGGTGTTTCTGCTCTCTTGTTTTTGTTTGTTTGTTTTTTGTTGTTGTTTTGGTTTTTGAGACAAGATTTCTCTGTGGCTTTGGAGGCTGTCCTGGAACTAGCTCTTGTAGACCAGGCTCGTCTTGAAATCACAGAGATCCACCAGCCTCTGGCTCCCGAGTGCTGGGATTAAAGGCGTGTGCCACCACCGCACTTTTTTTAAACAACAACAAAAACAGGACAAAGCAGAATTCCCTTCTTTACCCTTCAGCCAGGCAGATGTATAGCCCTTATCAGAGCTCATTCCTCTCCCTAGGCGGCTCCTGGTGGCCCTAGGCAGCTCCCTAGCTACCAGAAGTGGAGTTCGGATCCCTGGATTGAAACCCTAGGAGATAGCTAGCATTTTCAAAACTGACGTTGCATCCTCTCATTTTCTTCTTACAGACATAGTGTATGCTTGGAAGAAATTCAGGCAATAAATAACAAAACGAGTATCTCAAAAGATCTAAGTAACACTCGGTATTTTGAGAAATGTAATCTTAAAAAGATTGGATTTACATGATTCATGGCTTTGAGATTTGTCTGCTGAATCACTTGTACTACAATAGTTTTCTAGAGCTTGTACCCTGGACTGGGGTAGGGTTTGGACCCTGGATTTTCCTTCTGCATGGCTGGGAGACTAAAGGAGTTACGCATCTCTGTACAGTTCCCTCACCTGTAACTTGAGAATAGCCATAGCGCTCATTAATAGGGCTGTTGTCAGGATTGAGCCTGGCGATGCCTGTGAGGTGTGTCAGTAATCTTGCACACTGTAAGCACTCAGTTAATGTTGACTATTGTTTTTATTATTTAAAAGACATTTGTTGTTAAAATTATGTGTATGTCTGTGGGTAGGTATGTGCACATGAGTATAGGTGCCTACAGGGGCCAGAAGACCAGTGTCACTCCTTAGAGCTGCTTGATGTGGGTGCTGGGAGCTGAACTCAGGTTCTCTGGTAGAGTAGTGTATGCTCTTAACTACAAAGCTGTATCTCCAGGCCACATTTTTAAATTTATTGTTACTTTGCAATTACTGTAGATGTACGATATTGGTGCTTGTGTGCCGTGTGTGTCATGGCACAGATGTGGAGATCAGAGCACACGTTTGTGGGGTTGGTTCTCTCCATCTTTATGTGAGTTCTGGGACTCGAACTCAGATCCTCATGATTATACAGCAAGTGATTTCTTTACCTGCTGAACCATCTCTTATTATTTTTTTTTAAGTTTAAATTTAGATTAGAAACAAGGTTGCTTCACAAGTCAGTTCCAGGTCCCTCTCCCTTTCCCTCTCCTCCTCCCGTCCCCCTCCCCCGCAAACCCCCCCATTATCCCCTCATTTCCCCAGGGAGGGTGAGGCCCTCCATGGGGGTGTCCACAG